AAATTGTGTCTACTGTGCAATTGCTTCATTGCGTAATGTGCAAAACAAAAAGGGAAACGATTACATAGATCAACAACGCTCGCCGATTGCTGCTGTAAAAGTGCCATTGCAGTTGTTGTTTCGACGCGTACAACCTTGCTTCGGCCCAAAGCGGAAAAAGCGGAGGTCGTGCGAGCAAATAATTGCTCTAATTGCCATTAGAGCTGATTGAGGTGAATCAAATAAAATAGATTTATTTTTGTAACAACCAAAATGTAGGCAAAGGTTGCGCTAAACAGTGGAACATTGGCAACACTTCAGATTGAAGAGAATGGGCGGGCACTGAAATGAGTGAGTGTGTGTGTGTGTGTCTGGTTTGGCAGAGGGTCATTTGTGGGCATTTGGCAACACTTTTCCCTTTTCACGGCTTCTTTTCTCGCCGCCAACAACGTCTCAGAGCATCGTTTCACAAAGTACACTGTGGCGGTGGTGTGCTAGCGCAGTGGTGGCTCGCTGAGTGCCATTCAGGTCGGTGATGGTGGTGACGGTGGCCATGCTTCCCTTCAGGCCATCGTCGCCGCAGTCATCAGCCACTGCTGTTCTGCTAATCCTCTCGTTGAGCGGCGGACTCGATGAGATGGAAGTCCGCCGACTGGATTCTAAATCCGTTTGCAGCAGCTGCTGCTGTTGCAGTTGATTGTCGAGCTGTTGTTTGCTTTTATCACTGGCCATATTTACCGAGTGGCACTTGTTCGCCCTGCTGCTGCTGCTTGCGGAAATGCCTGTACATTTGGTAGAAGACGAGGTGGTGCCTGTCGAGGAGGTCTCCACTATTCGGCGGATAAATATTTGCTGAAAAGTCTCACGAAATGCACGCGACATGCCGCAGTAGATGGCAAAGTTGAGAGGGTACGATATGACGATGAAAAAATTGGTGAAAATAATGGTCATGTTCAAGAGCCCATCCGAAACAATTTCCAGATTGAAAACATTCTCCACCACATGAATCAACGTACACAGTGCGAGAGGAATCTCAACAATGAGAAAGACAGTGACGACGACAATCAANGTGCCTGTCGAGGAGGTCTCCACTATTCGGCGGATAAATATTTGCTGAAAAGTCTCACGAAATGCACGCGACATGCCGCAGTAGATGGCAAAGTTGAGAGGGTACGATATGACGATGAAAAAATTGGTGAAAATAATGGTCATGTTCAAGAGCCCATCCGAAACAATTTCCAGATTGAAAACATTCTCCACCACATGGATCAACGTACACAGTGCGAGAGGAATCTCAACAATGAGAAAGACAGTGACGACGACAATCAGCATAAAGGTAGTGGAGTTGGCGTCTCGACCGCTGCCCAGGCCTCGAGTTGTCTTGCTTCGCGCTTCAATGCAGATGCTTCGACGAGACACATTCTGGTCGTTCAGCATCTGCTCTGAGGTCGTGCAGACCGACTGACTGCGTCCGTGGCCATTCCTCAGCAGTGGACTACTGCCAGAGCCGCTTTTATTACTGGCGTGACTTTTCAAGAACAACTTTGCTCTCGTCACCTCTGCCCGTTTGAGAGCACTGTAGAGCAGGACATTAAAGATGACTAAAGCCAGGCACGGACCAATGTGAACAAACAGTATTCGAAAGGTAAAGTAGCTCAAATAGTAGACGTCCTCTACCTGGCTCACCCAGTCGGACATGACCAGAAGGCAGGCATGCTGTTGGGTAGTCTCATTTTTGGACGACTCGGTGAGGTTTTCTGCGGGCAGTGTGATGTCTGAGTAGTGGCTTTCAAAGAAGCGCAACAGCTGATGTACGAAAGCTAGCAAAAAGATGATTCCGATGACTTTGGTAACGGTTTTGTTTGTACACCAAACTTTGGCAGTACTGGATATAAGAGACACAAATGGTTTTTGTTATCAAATATTAAAATAAACCCCAGTTCACTGCACAGCTTGCTGAACTGAGTCTAATTAATAATTTAAACACTGACCTTGGATGGCATATGTAAATATACCTGTGTGCGTACAAAAATTAATAGTAAAAAAATGTTAATAATAATGAAAACTGTCAACTGCAGGAAATGTCTAACCTTTGGCAAGCTAATAGCAGAGTAAGCCAAATGGAGGCGGTGTGAAAGAATGCTGGCAGAACTTCGCTCATGTAGTTGTACAGATTGCACAAAATCGATGGATAGAGGTACTCGCGAAAGTGTCCCAGCGAAAACATGTAAAAATACCATGGTACCGAAAACACTAGCGTCATCGTGTCAGCGACTGCCATTGCCAGTAACACCTGATTATTAAGAATTAATATATTTCACACTTAAAATGTAAACATTGCCTTGAGCGATTGTACAACTGTACGAACCTGGTTTGTTGGCGTCTTCATTTCAGGCCTTGTCAAAATCTATTGTGCGTGCATTTAGGTGGATTAGAGCATTGAAAAAAGTGTGTTGAAATGCAAGAACAAACCACAATAATCATGCTGTTGGCTATAAGTGTTATCACGAAGAAGACAGGGGTAAAAATGCCCAGCAACACAACTAAAACCTGACTGTCAGGAAGGCCGCGTGTGACGTTGAGTAGAGGAAGTTGCTGTTGAAAAAAGGTATTGTTGACGGAGATAATAAAGAAAGAGAGTTTTAACGGACATCAACCATCAACTAAGAAAAACTTACGCCAAAAGTGCCATTGATAATGTCAGACGGGCTAATGGTGAGGTTTGCCAGGTTGTCAGACATGAGGGCTGTTTTGCTTAAAACTCGTCTTGTTTGTCAGTTGAAAGGAAATGGATTGTTGAGTTGGCTGGTTCCCGGGCAATATTTATAGACGCAGAAAATCTTCCTTGCGGCAGTAATCACAAGTGGACGAGACACATTGATGAATTGTCAAGAGGACATTGCTGACAGAACTTGGAGCGAGTGCACCCTGCGCCTGAGATGACAGTCGAATGAATTGAGCAGTGGGGCAATGTTCGTGAGTTAATTATTTGCAGTGCCAACTGCACTACGGCCTGAAACTGGCGCATGGCACGGTCCATCGTCTAGAAGGTCAATTGCTGCTGACACTGATCAGTGAGGGAGGTGAATGGTGAATGAACGGCAAACCCGTGTGTTTGTTTGTGTACTGCACGACAAGGTCCGACGGCCAAATTAGGTTAGATTATTTCAAGTTGAGCACACTGTGGTGGTAGTGAGAATTGAAATTTGAGCACAAACAATGAAAAACGCGGTGTGTTCTGGAAAGCGTCGGTGGGATCCGTGCAGAGCGATAAATCAACCGGCGACCACAATATAACGATAATTAATTAGCGTTTTAAGAAAACTTTGCAATTGCGCCATAGAGTTAGGCCTAGCGAGGCGCAAATGCGCCAGGAAATAAATTATTGGAACAGTAGACAGCAGAACTTGGAAAACAAACAAGTAAAGCACTGGGGAAGAGAAAGGGCAAAAAGAGGGAGAGCAAAAGAGAGAGTGAGAGAAAACGAGATTACACAAGTGGGTGATGGTGGCAAAGTGATAGGCAGATTGCGTCTGGTGAATAAATTAGTTTAGTGGCAAGTATAAATAATTAAGCGACCAAAGTAAAAGCGGGAAAATATGAAAGAGCTACTGTCATCAAGGACAAGTAAAAGCCACCTCAGCTGAAGTAAAAGAAAAGCGGTATCTAAAGGTAAAAACTGCAGAGCAATAAATTCTTGATCACAAACAGTCTCAGCAGCAATCAGAATATCACAATGGTGGGAAATAGTAGATTGCCGTGTTGCGGCCGGGCTTGCTGAAACTGGTGTCACTTTTCCAGTGTCAGTCGTCTGCTGACCGGCCAAAGTGCTCCTTGATCGGTGATTGGCCCTGGCGAGGTGTTCTCCGGCTGAGAAGGCCCTAATCAGTGGCAACCTCAATGGTCGCCTGTTGTCTGTCGCCACACTTCGAACGGACTCTTCGATGCTAATGGCGATATATTTGGTGAAAAAGTGTTTGACNAATCAGTGGCAACCTCAATGGTCGCCTGCTGTCTGTCGCCACACTTCGAACGGACTCTTCGATGCTAATGGCGATATATTTGGTGAAAAAGTGTTTGACAAAGTGAATGCTCTGTCTCTACCCGTCTGCTGCAATTGCCCAATTTCGATTGCTCCTAGCAGCACAGTTCTTTTTAGTGGCCTTTGCAGACCATTCATCACACCAGTGATTCTATATAGCAGTCAGTTCATNCACAGTTCTTCTTAGTGGCCTCTGCAGACCATTCATCACACCAGTGATTCTATATAGCAGTCAGTTCACTTTGCCTTGCTTCTGCCCAGCATTCTATCACTTGAAAAGAAAGATAGAGCACTCAAAGGAAAACTCTCACTGTCTTTTCCTTGCTCGTCAAGCCATTTTTATTATATCAAATAGAGACTCTAATTTGTTGTGATAAAAAATTAATCAAAGTAATATTTTGAGCAATATTTGGTGGGCACTTGTGGAGGATTTGGAAGGTACCATGTTTGTTATTATGTTGCAGTTTTAAATTAGAACATTTTGTCAAAAAATGCGCAAACTGACAACTACTGATCGACAACATTTTTATTTATATATATTCTTTTCAATAGAGAATGAATTTGCCTTGTTGACTAGGCAGCGATAATGCATGTTAGTTTTATCTGTTGACAGAAGCACAAGATAGCAAGTGTCTACAGTGCCAGTCTCTTCCTGAACTAAACCATAAAGGTCATTTGCACTTTTTCAATGACTTAAACGCTTTCTCCTTTTTAGAAAAAGTGATGTTTTGAACACACTTCCTTTTATTTCAAAGTTTGTTTACACCTTGTAATTTATGTTGCAATTTAGAAAATTTAGTCTATCAGCAGTTTGACACCCAAGTTCCAGTAGTATAAAACTGTATTTGGCAAATAAAACCAGCTGATAATTCTGTATTTTTTTCAGTACTAAACTATTTTTTGCCTTTCAGGCATCAGATTATGCTTGTCAGTGCAAGTGACGCCAGCTTGGCGAATATTTTATTTGTAGATTGGCAAAGTGGTTGGCTGCCAAAAAGAATTGGCGGCTGGCCAAACTAGTGGACTGACGAATGGCCTTTGTGTGAACTGAAAGTGCAGAGAAGACCTAATTGCAACTGTCTACACGTCAGCATTTCTACCCAGCACATCACTCCACTTATGATGGAAATTAATTGTTGTCATAATCGTGCATTTTGGCCAGTGAATGGAAGCTAAACTGCACAGTAGGCGTCAAATGCCATTGAAGATGAACCGTGTCAAGATGGCTGCCACCGTCAACTGAGGTTGCAACTGGCCACCCTGTCGCTCCATTCACACTTACTCACTCGGCCCTGTCCGCCTCGTACATTGTCTGATGCAAACACCATAATTGAATGGTTTAATTTGCTCATAGTAAATTTGATTTAGGTGTAGAAGCAAATGAAGGCAGTATCTGTTTTGGTAAACGGTGCCTAAGCAAATTAGGTCTGCATGCCTTGAGATGCAAAAACAAAAGCCCAATTAGTCCAACTAAAGCTAAATTACGCTAATGATTATTATGCCAAATATCGGTTATTAAATAATTACACTGCTATTAAAATTAATTATGAAAATATATTTTTGACCATTTTGAAAAATGAGTACTTCAAAAATTATTTAAGTTTTTCACTTAATATTAAAATAAATTAAAATGCTTAGTTTCAACATATGATTATCAGTAACTTGGTGTTGCATTGGAACATCTTTGTTTAAGAAATAAAAATGCAAAGCTGTTCAATATAACAGAAAAAATAAGTTTTCAAGTTTGCTATTTGCGTATATAAAATCGATTAAATTAAACGACTGATTCAATTGATTTTCAGACATTTTTGCTAAAATTGGCCAGCATGCAAAACTTTTTTATTTGCTGTTTTTCAGTTACTGGTTCGATAAACGTTCAATTATAATTATAAATTAACATTAGTACAATGTTCTTTGTCTATTTCATTAGGGAATGGTGAACATAATCACATTTTTAATGTGTCAAATTTATTGATATTATCAGTTTTTTTGTTATTACCATTTACTAATTTTTTATCTAGTTAAGTTCATTTAAAAAGTTTGTGGTGTAAACTAGGTGCCCAGCGTCCAGATGATGATGTTGACAACAGAATGCGCCGTCAATTCTCTTGCGGAAACGTCACCTTGAAAAACCAGTTGAAATGGACAGGAATATACGAATGCTAAAAGTGGTGATTGGTAGTGCGGATGAATCAAGGCAAACCAGTGAAACCGTTGAGGCTGAAAAAAAAGACAATTATAATTATGACACGACTGACTGAGGCGTTGCACAACATTGCCTGCTGACTTTTGCAGGCAGTGGTGCTCAACGACTGCGTCGCTCTGCTGGTCACTGCTTCGAAGCCACGCCACTGATCTCAATTTTCAATTCCCAATCCGCACACGGTCATATCATTACGTCTCTGGTGAGCAAAATAATGGTCTATACACTACCACTAACGGAAAAGTTGCGCTAAAACAATGAGAAACAAGGTGCACTGTGTAGTGCTGAGATGGTCAAGATAAATCTCTTAAACTTGCCGTTTGTTCACTGATCACTTTCTTTTACAGGCTATTTTCAGTTGACAAATTTGTGTTGTCACCCTTACTTCTCATCACCCAGTGCATAGATTGCTTTAAACCAAGTTTATCATCTTTTTTGTTGCTGTTGTGTCTATGTGACAGAGAAAATGGCTGAAACAACCATCATCATCAGTCTTACTGTAACGGACGCTGGGTAGTGTGCCACTTTGCAAATATGCAAAAAACTGTTTATTATTATAAATTAAAAGTGCCATACGACACCTCGCCTTATCGCAGCTTCATGTGCCTGTGTGATTTTGTACGCCTCCTTGAGCTCATTTGTAAAGCCTCATTCTTCTCTCCACCGAATCTGCGCAACCTCGGCAAAAGCATAAATTTTCACTGACAGCAGTCCTAGTCAGCATCACTGTGCCTTGCTGTTTGTCCGCCTCTTAACTCAATTACTGTCATCCATTGCGAATTGCCATTCCAATTGCGTCTTGCAACACTAAATATCTACAAACATAAACATAATCGTTATAACAATATTTTGTCACGGTCCAGGCAATGTGGGAGCAAAATGCTGGGCACCAATCGATAATTCGACTTTGTTAATTTGTGCTGAAAGAAGTCAAAAAGAGTGGAAGCAAAAAGATGAAACGTTATGCCATTTCTTTTTGAAAACATACTACTGTTTTACTAATTTAATTATTTATTACCTGCTTCCTCGTGGAATTAGTCTAAGTGATTCTTAGATATAAAGGAATTATAATAAACTAATTATAACCAACAGCCGCCTCAATGCTTTCAAAGCCAACTAGTTGGACAAAGTTTTACAGTTTTGACTTCTTAGAAGTGCAACCTTTCTAGCAAATAGATTGTGGCACATGTTGGCAAAACTAATACAGCTGTCAGCAAGAATTAAATTTCCATTTCGATATATTGCACAGTACACCTCAAATACTACGAACAACTATGCAAATGCCGCCTTCTGACGCAACCACAATGGTGCCGACACTGTGCCTGGCAGTGCTGAGCGGCCTAACCTTGGCGTGGACAGCTCAAAGCAGTCAAATGAAAACAGTGTTTAATCAAATTTGCAGCCAAATTGCAAAGTGTGCAAGTGTCTTCCATTGGGTCTTTCACAGAAGTCAACACTGCTCCTGTCTCAGACCTGTAGTCGAATGGAATTTTTCT